GAGTCAACTCCAGGGATAGGGTAGAGGAATGTATAAAGGTCCAGAACTTTTCCTAGGCTAATTCCTTCATCCCGATCACTATCCAAACCTCACTGAAGCATGCTGGTCTACAAGGTCATGACAGTCTCTGCCTTCTTTGTTCCACAATGGCTTTCCCCAGTTTAGGCATAGGTACAAGTACCTTGAAATCATTTGTAGATGGAAGTTGATGTTTGTGAGTGTGTGTTTTTGTTGGGATGGGTGGAGGAGGGTTGGCTTGTTGTGAAAGTTTTTGTTTGTTTGTTTTTGTTTTTTTTCCCAAGGCAGGGTTTCTCTGTGGCTTTTGGAGTCTGTCCTGGAAATAGCTCTTGTAGACCAGGCTGGTCTCGAACTCACAGAGATGCTCCTGCCTCTGCCTCCCAAAGTGCTGGGATTAAAGGTGTGTGCCACCACCGCCTGGTTGTTATGAAAGTTTTAAGTAGAAATTGGACAAGCTATCAATGTGGTCTTAGGTGAGGATAGCAGCTTGTAGCAGTTGAGTGACTGAGGTATGATTTGGTTGTTAGTTTGAATTGACCATATCAAGGTAACATTCTTGGTCAGGTGGGATCAGGACAGAATGGCTGAGTTTTTCTTTTCTTTTCTGATGGTCCCATCCTCACTAGATGCCAAAGCAGTTGTGTGTTCTGTAGAATTATGGTGAAAAGATGGGGGCACTTCAACACAGTGAGCTTCAGTCGTGTCTGAGAGTGTTGGCAACCAGATGTGTTACTGACTGTGAACTTGTAGGTCTGGGATGGAAACTTGTACCACATTTAGGAAAGAAAGAAAGAGTGTCCTCGTGAGCAAGAGAGAAAAAGGACCTAACAAACACAAAGCTTTCTGCTCCAGTTCTTTCTGAACTCAGACAGTTTCCCAGGAGATCTGCTCACCCAACCATCTGACAGTGTCCTCACCGCCCCTTGCCTGCCTGTGCTGTGTGACTCCTGCTCTGTGGGTGACTCTTGCTCTGTGGACTGCTCATCTAACTGTGTGAAAATGGCCTATCCTCCTCCTCTTCTCCTGTGAGGTGACTCTCATTGTCTGGGCTGCTTGCTTCTCACTGGAATACAATCGAGATAAAGGGAAATGAGGGGCAGAGAGAGACAGCGATTCTGCCGATTTAGCATGGTGTCAGCAGACACAGTGAGATGACCAGTCGGTCCTTGTGAAACCTGGTCTATGCTCAGTAGACCATAGTTGTGAGGGTTCTGCAGATAACCAGCTCTATGACCTTAGGGCTGAGGGTCTTAGGATATGCTGAAAATGGGTTCTGGATACACGCTGCTATAAAAATATAGTCGTTGGAATGGAACATGTTAGTGTTCTCTTCTTGTTGACACATAAGACCAATGGTTTCTTTACACTGTAGCCCTGGGAAGTTTTGTTTGTGACTTTCAAAAATAAGGATGCATGACATAGATTGGTCTTGAAGTTTTCTCCTGTTCTGGTCTGGCCGGCACACAGATAGTGGTACCATTCAGATGGTCTTTCCTCAACTGACCCTTAAAGAAGGTAGGAGTAGGCTCTGATCACATTGCTCTGAGAAGCAGTTAGTCCACAGAGTTCAGCTGCTGAAGAGGACTGTGGATAGACCACACAACCTCAGCCACTTTATACTTCCCCTTAAACAGAGGGCTGAGAACAGGAAGAGGTGGACATGACAGAGACTATTCTTGTAGTTTGCAGAAATCTTTGACCAAAAGCTATACTGCAACCTGAAAGGAATAACTACCACAGAAAATGTTCAAATAACTGGGCTCAAATGAAAAAATAACAAAACTGAGGAGGACCAATTCAACAAAGTGAAAGAAAATAAAAATACATCAGCACACGTTTGTACGTTAAAAACAAGAAGTGTAAAGACAACAGCATTTCAGTTAGCACTTACAAGTCTCTCATTAAGTGAGTTCACCACACATATTTCTCAGACACTTTAATTTTTATTAAATTATGTTTTCTGGCCATAAGAATTATTACCTAGAATATTTAGGAATTTATAGATCATTTAAGAAAGTAAATTCAATTCACCTGTACTTCTATCATCTAAAGAGAAAGGACATACACTTACAGTTTATAGATAGAGGTAATCATAATACCTATTATCTATATCTGTCACTTGCCTGCCATAGCCTGTTCTTACCCTCTATGACTTTTATCATTTGTATTCATCTTAAAATTGATATGGAAACATGTTGATGATGGTTAGTAAACTATTTCAAGTATTTAAAATCCTTTTCGCATTTCTACCTTTCAATTGTCTAATTTTAGGTCCCATAATCTATACCATTTTATAGGAATAAAGGCATAGGCACCAACGCAACTAAATTAGCATGAACATAAACAGGCACAGAAGAGACCATGAAGCAGATAATAGTTTATGTAACAATACTATTTCTGAAACGTTCAAACTTAAAGGAAAAAGTGTCACAACGCACACACAACATAACGTTAATGTATAGAAAGCTTGCCACCTGCTAAGACAAACACGTAATAAATGATCCTAAAGTGCACCTGTAATTAGCTAATAATCCTATGTAATTATAACCACATATGCAACGTGAAGGTGGTTTTGAAAGGCATCATAATAAGAATAGCTTTAAAGTACTAAGTTGATGTGATTTTGAGGATAGATACTTATGCACGATTACAATGTTGCTTTATGAGCAGTTCTGCAGAATTTACCAAATTCCCTCCATTAGAATTAAGCTTTAAGTAATTGAAACTCTGTCATCTGTGCACTTGTCACTCTGGATGTGCAGTCCCGTGCAGCACTCTCTTTTTGCACCTTCTGTGCACAATGCTATTTTCCAATCCTGATTCCAGCTCCTTCAGTCTCACTCCTAACCTAAATTAGATTTCAGTCTAAACCGCATGACATCAGTGACGTTCCAGATCATTTGCTTATTCCATAGTGAATATTAATCATATTAATCATCAAGCAGAGTTAGTACTAAAAATATCTAGTGTATATAGGTTCAGTGTTCATATTTCATAGCAGTTATTTTTTATTTATTTTGAAACAGTAGGAAACTGAAGCTAAATTAAACAATATGATAAAGATAAGTATATTATTATATACCTGTAAGATTGCCTACTATAGAAATTCAAAACTCATAATTGTATATAATTTTTAAAAATTTGATAAATAAAACAGTTCTAATATTACTGGGATAAGCACCAATACATAGTTCCTCAAATTACAAGCTATAATAAAACTTCTAATGAATCAGATTGGTAAGTTTGTTTGACACTGGCTAGTGACATTACAAGGAGCTTTTTTCTTTGAATTTGTTTTATTTGGTTCTTTTTCTATCATTTCTTATCTTTCTGCACATTCCAAGCCTATTAATTAAAATGCAAGTATTGGTTTTGAAACCTCCCAGAGAAAATGAACGATGTCTTTATATACAGAAATATCCAGGCTTCAGAAAACTGGTACACTCTGTAGTTTGTCAAAGATAATATCCTAACATCATATATTAGGTTATATATAATAATCAAATTTGAAAATGAAAAGTTCAAAATGCTGTTGAGTATAAGTTTCTATACACATATGTGCATATGTATTTGTATGTGTATATGGAAACCTCACACATGTTCTACTCTTGGTATATTTTCCTGTGCTCTGGTTAGACATGATAATTTTTTTGTGTGTGTGCATGTGATTTTCTTTGAATGATTTCCTTTTCAGCAGAATCTGTCCTCAACACTAACTGATGTAGGATGGACTCATTTTAAAAGATTGGACAAGAAGAGTATCACTACAGACTTCTTTCTTCAGCAGATAGACTCTGCTTGTCTAGTTATCTTTCAGAGTTGCATTCACTATTGTAACTGTTGCTACTACATCAGGACCAACTAACAAGAACTTTGGCATTTAATAGGTGAAAACAACAGTGAGTTTTTGAGAAGCAAAACTGCACACAGCAAAGGTGCTCTTTTCTGTTCTTCAGTTCCATATTGTAAATATCAGGGGTGACCACAGCTGTCTATCTTGATGTATCTTGATGTCTTTCTTTTGTGTCTTCCTGTGGAAGTGGTATCAGCACTTCAGTCTTGTTTTGAGTGTTTATTTTCCCAGTGAAAGTTGTATTAGTCAGGGTTCTCTAGAGTCACAGAACTTATGGAATGAAGATCTCTCTCTCTCTCTCTCTTTATCTATATAGATATGTGTCTCTCTCTCTCTCTGTGTGTGTATGTGTGTATGCATATGTATATATCTATATCTTTATATGTATGTTTATATATATATGTAGACATGTCTATATCTCTCTCTATATGTCTCTATATGTGTCTATATATTTGAATCGGTATATATGGGATTTTATTGGAATGACATATAGGCTGGAGACAAGCAATGGAAATGGAAAGTCCAAGAATCCAGTAGTTGCTCAGTCCCACAAGGCTGGATGTCTCAGCTGGTCTTCTGTCTGTGTTGGAATTCAGAAGGATTAGACTTCAACACCAGTGAACAGATGGATGTGCTGACAAGACAAGGGGAAGCAGGCAAAGACCAAACCCTTCTTTCTTCCATTATCCTTACATATGCTCCCAACAGATAGGATAGCTCAGATTAAAAGTGTGGCTTCCTGCATCAAGGTCAGGGTTAAAGGCATATGTCATCTTACCCCAAGGTCCAGATCAAAGCCAGTGTCTTCTAGCCTCAAGAACCGGATCACAAGTGTTTCCTCCATTTCTGCATTGGGGTTAATTCCAGACATAGTCAACCTGATAAATCATCACAAAAGTCTTCACACAGAAGGGTTGCTTCCCTGGCAAATGTGAATAAAGAAGTTGAAGCATAAGGAGGCTGACTGAGCAGTTGAACTTGCATGTGGGATACAAATCCCACTCCAGAGAAAGAGCCCCACAATACAGTTAAAGCAGCTGCAGAAGAGTATAGTGCTTGGTATTTCAGCTACAAACTATTGTAAGGACTAGTGCATGTGAAAAAGTTCTTCAAGGATTTCCTCACCAGATTATACCAGGGCATTCGTTCCCATGCCACACTGTCGTGTGTCCCTGAGCTCTCCACTGTCACAGCGCTTTAACTGCTGCAGTAACTTCAAGGAAACTTTCTTCAGCTGGTTGTTGGCTAAAATTAGAATAAATGAGTGGCAGCATGGGTACATGAGTACAATTATCACACCAAGAACTAATAGCAGTTTCCCATTTGGCCAAAGAAAGCATAATATTTCTATGAGCAAACCTACAAAATACAAGACAAAGAGGACGATAAAAGAAATTAAAACTTTCATGGCTTTCATATGAGCTTCTGTGTTGAGGTCTCGGAATCCTAAGACATTAGCTTGCATCTGCTTGTTGTGTCTCCAAAGAGAAATGATTAACAGGAGACATGTAATAACAGTTACCATAAAGAAGAAAAGAATTCCAAATTGAAAAAAGACATGACTGAAAAGTAACTCCTTTGCTTCTGGTGTGTCTAGGTGAACCTGCCAGGAGATGTTTCTGTATTGCATTTTAATATCATCAATCATCTTCACAATTTGTGGGATAGAAATAAACAACGAGACAAAAAAGCATCCCACCATAGTGATAAAAACACTGTCAGCTCTTCTCTTCAGCCAGGTAAATACGCAGTGAGAAAAATTTGCTATCTTCAGGAAATAGAAGATGCTGAGGCTGGCAGCAAACCAGATACTCAGGTGATTCATAGTTACCCATAGGTAACTGATGCATTCATATATCTTGCCATAGCTAAGTGTATGTGTAGAGAATAACTTTACATATGTATCAAAAGTTATTATCCACATGAGACAAATCCTGGAAGTTGCCAAGCCAGTGAGAATGAAGCCAATCTTAGAGAGCTTCTTGTTCCTGGCACAGTCCATGCAGTTCACAAATGCAACAAATGTGTTCCCCAAAGTTCCCAGCACAGCTTCACTAGTTGCCACAAAAAGGAGGATGCCTTCTGCTGCACTTAGCATCTCTGCAGATTCCTAAGATTGCTCAGGCTGCAGAATGTTTCATAGATTGGCTGCTTGATGGAGGAGTGATTTTCTCTTCTTTGTTCATGAAGACATAGAAGTGCCCAGGATTGGCCTGTGGTTATATCAGAAATATCTCCATGGCTTTCCTTGTTATTGCTTCTGTAGGAATTGGTGAGTCCATGGAAGGTCAGCAGACTCGCTGCCTACTTGAGATTTGTTAGTAACCAAATGAAAGCTTCTGTTTCATGAATTTTGATTCTCTAAGACTATTTTACATAGAAAAACTCAGCTATGGAGTCGAAATTTCAGGCATATGCTTCAGGATGATATATACATATATATATATATGTATATATCAGAAACCATCTTATTATATATTTTGAAATACCAACCATTAATATTAGTTTGAAATGGTGGCACATAGCCATGTACAGTACCAGCTAAGACACTGGGAGGCTGAGCTAGGGGAATTACAACTACTTGAGCCAAGGACAAGTTCCAGAAAAAATAAACAAAACAAACAAATAAACAAAACTCTAGCGAGAATGAAAAAAAAGAGAGAGAAAAAGAATTTGATGTGCTAAAAAATATAGTTTAAATATATAGATGTATAAGTTTAAATATACAAGAAATACAATATATAGAAATAATAGAGTGTTTCTACTTAGTCTGTCAAACAATAATTTTAAATAAAACTATGAGCTAAAATTTGATGGTTTTGACAAATATCTCTGAGCAGCTACTGTGTCTTACATACTGACAACCACATCATTGCTTTTGTGACTGAATTCATGGTGGTCACTTTTGACATGAAGGGTCTTCCACATCATTCCTTCAGTCAGCATATTTTATTTTGATAACATCTATACCTTTCTTCCTTTAATAAGCATCACCCAAGTGCTCGAATACAGCATGCTCTCCTTTGCCACTAAGGAAATATTGGTAGATAGAATTTTTAAGCTTTTGTGATTCATGGAACTCACATTCAACAAAGGCAGGAAACTCTTAGTTAAACCAATTGGTTATTGTAAAGCTCAACAATGAAATCCAGCATTCAGTAAGTCTTTACTATTTTCTCATCATTATGCTAGATACTTTAGTCTTATTCTTCATTTCAATTTCAAAGTATGCCTTTAAAATTGGTACTACTTGTATCTTAATTTTAATTTTATTAGTTTTCTTTTTGTTTTTGTGATTTGAGCTAGGGTATTGCTATATATTTCAGTTTCCATAATATTATAGAACCAACAGAATATATACCTCATGTATAATAAAATTTGAGCCCAGAAGAGCTAGAAGAGCTGTGTATTTAGTACACAGATCAAGCATAAGTGGGTCCTGTTGGTGTGTTGGCTTCATGAATATTTCATCAGCAAATGGGGGCTAAGGCTTTCACCTTCATGGGCAAGGGGACATGATTTTCTTTCACTAGACATTCATTAGATTTTCTTACAATTCTTGCAATGTTGAGAAGACACTTTAATTTTATAACACAGCTTTTGAGAAAACTGGACCAAGAATTTCAGCAATATTCTCAAAAGATTGAAATTGTGGTTATGTGAATGTTAGCTATAAAAATTACAAATGGGTCCTCAGGATGAAAACTGGAGAGTTACCAGCTTCATAAAGAAATCTAGACTTTATCACCCAACTTGTGTCTCTTATTGGGCTACAAACCCTCTCCCTGGATTCTGTTTAAACAGTAATTTTGCTCTTTCTGATTGAAAATAAAGGTTGAATGACTGGAGATTGCTTTAATAAATTCTCATCTACAGTTACTGAACATCATTTTGAATATGTCAAGACAAATTTTCAGTACAGATTAAAAAAATAATTAAAAATTATAATTTGTTTATTTTTCTCAATGTGCTGCAATTTTTGCTATAAAATTTCTATTAAAATTCATTCTTAAAACATGATATTTCATTAATATCTTAATTCACACGAACTTGTACCCCTTTGTATTTAATTATAAACTTCCAAACATGGTCTCCATATGTGTTTATTTACTGAGAGATCTTAAATTAACAATTTAATGATGTACCAAAATCTTAGAAAAACAATAACAAACCAAATCCAGAGACAATTGATGCAAACAGATGACACAAACAAACAAAACCCCACAAAATCTATACAAAGAATAATTGAAACAGAGAGCTGATTGTTTGAAATGACAAATAAGATAAATTTTTAACCATATTAGCTGAAAGAGAGATGGTACCAAATTAATGATATTAGAAATGAAAAGGGAGAAGTTATAATTAAAATTAGAATCTAAAAAATCCTCCCTCTCTCCCTCCCTCCCTCATTCCCTCTCTCACTCTCTCCCCCCTCCCTCTCTTTTACCCTCTCTGCCCTCTCACATGTAAAATAATAAATTAAATAAAAAATGCTTTGACTCCAAAATTTAAGTTCAAGGACAAGTTACTGGAGAAAAGGATTTCTATTTTTGTTTCCACAGAAAATGAAAAGCTGTGGATTCCTTCCAGACTAATGTGGTTTGATCAAGCCAGACCGCCTGAAACAGAGTACCAGGTGATCCTACAATCAAAACAGCTGGACAAAGCAGCCTTACAGACTACAGCCAGGATTTCTGCATCTTCTTAGAATCCCCCATGACAGCGCCCCTTACCAGCAGGAAGTAGTTTGGAAAGAGCGACGCCCAAATTCCCAAGTATTGTCTATAAATGTTTGTTTTCATTTAAATGGACTTGGTTATATAAAATAAACAAAAAAGAAATCCCAAGGACATACTGTAAAAAACTCTATTTGACAAAATTGGAAAACATAAAAGAAATAGACACATTTCCAGTACCATAAAATGTACAAAAATTAAACCAAGATATAATAAATAATTTAAACAGATTCATAATCATCAATAAGGTCAAAGGAGTAATAAAAAGTGTCCCACCTAAAAAAACAGTTGATTTACTCCAGATAGATTTAGTCCAGAATTCTCCCAGAACTTCAAGGAAAAATTCATACCAACACTGTATAAATTATTCCATGAACAGCAAAAAGGGAAAATTAAATTCTTTAAAACTATTTTTTAAACTTTATTTATTTTTAATGTGCATAGATATTTTGCCTGCATGTATGTCTGTGTGCCATGTTGATGCTTGGGGCCTATAGAGGTCAGAGGAGGACATCAGATCACTAGAAACTGCAGTTATGGATAATTGTTGATAATTGTTGACCGCTGTGTGTGTGTGCTGGGAACCAAATCTGGTTCCTCTGCAAGTGCAACAAGTGATTTTTGGGGAGTTTTTTTCTTCTTTAATTTTTAAAATTAATTTGATTTTTACATTCCAACCCCACTTCCCTGACCCTCCTTTCCTCCTGCTCCCCCGATTCCCTCCACCTCTCATCTGCTCCTCGGAGAGGATAAATCCTCCCATAGGAAGTCTACTAAGTCTGTCCCATCATCCATCTCCTTGAGGCAGGACCAAGTATTTCTCCACCCCCACCACACCCCTTAGTCTAGGCTGAGGAAGCAGCTATCTCTGTATAGAATGGGCTCCACTAAGTCAGTTTGTGCATTAGTGTTAGATCTTGGACTTTTTCCAGTGACCTCATATATTTTCCCAATCACACCATTGTCACCTATATTAAGGGAGTCTAGTTTGGTTTTATGCAGATTCCTCATTTGTCAGACTCGAGTCAGTGATCTCTCAGTAGCTCATGCCAACTGATTCTGTGGGTTTCCCCATCATGGTCTTGACTCCTTTGTTCATGTTATCACTCCTCCCTCACTTCGATTGTACTCCAGGAATTGGTTAGTTGTTGGTTTCTTCATCTACTTCCATCTGTTTCTGGAAGAGGGTTCTAGCTTCTCTGGGGTTGTGGATTATAGGCTAGATATCTTTTGCTTATGGCTGGTATTCACTTATGAGTGAGTACATACTATATTGTCTTTCTGGTTTTGAGTTAACTCACTCAGGATGGTTTTTCCTAGTTCTGTCCATTTGCCTGAGAATTTTAGGGTGTCATTGTTTCCTACCTCTGAGAAATACTCCATTGTATAAATGTACCACATTTTCTTTATCCATTCTTCAGTTCAGGGGCATCTAGGTTTCCAAGATTTGGCTGTTAGGAATAACGTTGCTATGAACCTAGTTGAGATAATATCCTTGTGGTGTGAATGTGCCTCCTTCGGGTATATGCTCAACAATGTTATTGCAGGGTCTTGAGGTAAGTTGATCCTTAATTTTCTGAGAAATTGCCATAATGATTTCTACAGTGGCTGTACAAGTTTGTCCTCCCACCAGCAATGAAGGAGTGTTTCCCTTTCTCCACATCCTCTCCAGCATAAGCTGTCATTGGTGTTTTTGATCTTAGCCATTCTGATCTGTGTAAGATGGATTCTCAAAGTGGTTTTAACTGGCATTTCCCTGATAACCTAAGGATGTTGAACATTTCCTTAAGTTTCTTTGCACCATTTCAGATTGTTTTCTTGAGAATTCTCTGTTTAGATCTATATCCCATTTTTAAATTGAATTATTTGGTAGTTTGATGTTTAGTTTCTGGAGTTCTTTGTATAGTTTGGAAATCAGCCCTCTGTCAGATGTGGGGTTGGTAAAGACCTTTTCCCATTCTGTATGGAATCCTTTTGTCTGCAACAAGTGATTTTTTAACTGATAACCCATCTCTCTAGCTTCTCCAAACTCATTTTATAAAGCTAGTATGATGCTGATATCAAAACCACACAAGACAAAAAATTAATAGATGAATATCCATAAAGAACACAGATGCACAAATTCTTATTGGTAAACTATATTCAAACCCATGTTTTAAAAGAGCAGGTATCACTACCAAGTTAGTTTCATTTGAGAGATGCATGGATGTTCAATATATGTAAACCAATTATGTTGTCTATCACATAAATAGAATAAACTTCAAATGACCTGACAGATCTACATAACCCCACCTGGATGGCATTGCCCTACATGTGGAATTGGGGTGGGGTGAGGGGAAGGGAGGGTAGTCAGGGTGCATGT